GGGGGAGGGGAGGCGGGGAGGAGGGGAAAGAGGGAAGGGAGGGGAGAAGGGGGATGGGAAGGTGCTGGGGGTGATGGAGAAGAGGGGGAGAGGGGTGCCCAGATTACCTGGATTTTGGCAGTAACAGACGGACGGTCAGGCATAGATGAGGACGAAGTTTGTTGGTTGACGAGTTACTTGGAAGTGGAGAGTTGGCAGTCTTTCCCATAGTCTCTCTGAGGGGAGCCAGGGGTGCCATGTGAGGGTGTTATCATCATTGAGACTGCAGAGCCTCTGGTTTGGATCAGTCCATGTCTCCATAAAGCTATTCCGTAGCTGTTGTTTTTTCTCAATGTTTGGCTCAACGGCCAAGTTGAGCTGCAGTTGTTTCCAGGCTGCCTGAGTATGGGCAGAGATCGTGTCTGAAATGGTTGACCGGGCCTGCATAAAGCCATAGTTATGTTTTTTTCTCTCATAGGAGCAGTGGCTGTTTGGGTAAGAGGGATTGCTCATTTCTGGGGCGCAGCGCGGCCGGGAGCGCTGCGCCCCGCCCGCCCAGTCAGGCCAAGCGGCGCCAAGCGGTGACATGCGGCGGTGTAGGCGCGAATACCCTTACAAGGGTATCCGCCCTGGTTTTTACAAGTGACAGAAAGGCTCGGTTAGCCTGAATTTTGAGTGCCCGTGCGGGAAAATGTGAGGGTCGTCCGCGCACGGGCAAAGGTCTGTCTTGTCCTGGTAGGGAGTATGTGGGCGCGCGATTTTGAGGCGCGCGTGTGATTTTTTTGATTGAAGTAGGCGGCCGGTCTAGCCGACCGGCCCGGACGGGACGGCCGGGGCATAGGCTGGTAGGCCGGCGCGGACGCTTAGAGGTCGTGGGCACAAATGGGGGCTGGGAGAGTAACCGGGGCGGTCTCTCGGCCGGAACGCCGCGCGGCACCACTTTATATGAGGAGCCGCGCCTATTAGTTACAGGCTTGGGCTTAGCCCTATCGGTTACGGTGGTGGACTGTTTCAGCAGAGGTACGAGGTTCGAGATTGGTAGGTAGCGGTACGGGAGCGACGGAGCGGCAAGGAGCGAAGGGGTTGAGACCCGTGGGACTATCCCCCTTTTGTTTTGCTGGGGGAGCCCGATCGCGGGCCCACGCCGCGAAGCTAAGGGAAAGCAGTGGCAGGTTCCATGCCCCGGCCTTTGTAAGGTTTCTTGTCTTCATAGGGGCTGGGCTACATCTCGTTTTTAGGATTTGCCTTTTTTTGGGGCCGGCGCGGGTATTGAGACTGGTCGCGGGCCTGAGAAATCAGCGCGGGGGGGGGGTATGCTGCTGAATCAATGAAAACGAGGGGGGGGGGGCGGCCCGATCACTTGCTGATATTAGAGTAGTAGCACGTGACGGACGCCCCTACCAAGGACCCGGCCTCTAAAGGAAGTCAGACCCCTGCCAAAGTGGCGTGTAGGATGCAGCGGCGGCCTTCGAGGCAATTGTTAAAAGGGGAGTGATACAAAGAAGATTAGTATGGTCTCTGGGCAAAGGCAACACCCACAAACGGGGAATGAACCCGGCCGTGAAATGGGCCGGGTACGAGTAAACGGGGGACCGTAGGGCCTTTAGGCCAATGCGGCGTTACCCCGGTCGGGATTTTATCAAAATCTGTAAAATTTGGAATGATATGGAGAAGATTCACATAGTCCCTGCGCAAGGTCAACATGTACAAACCCCGAAAGAGGGGCTGGGTTCGTGCGCC